CGCGCACGTCCCTGGGCAGCCAGCGCAGCCGCGTCAGCTTCCTCAAGAGCGACCTCAGCTCGGGCGCCAGCGACGCGGCCTCCACCGCCAGCCTGGGCGAGGGCGCCGAGGGCGCGGACGAGGCCGCACCCTTCGAGGCGGACATCGACGCCACCACCACCGAGACCTACATGGGCGAGTGGAAGAACGACAAGCGCTCGGGCTTCGGCGTGAGCGAGCGCTCCAGCGGCCTCCGCTACGAGGGCGAGTGGCTGGACAACCTGCGCCACGGCTACGGCTGCACCACGCTGCCCGACGGCCACCGCGAGGAGGGCAAGTACCGCCACAACGTGCTGGTCAAGGGCACCAAGCGCCGCGTGTTGCCGCTCAAGAGCAGCAAGGTCCGCCAGAAGGTGGAGCACAGCGTGGAGGGCGCCCAGCGCGCCGCCGCCATAGCGCGCCAGAAGGCAGAGATCGCCGCCTCCAGGTAGGCTCAGGAGCGGGTGGAGGGGATGGGTGTGTGTGTGTGCGTGTGTGCGTGTGCATGTGTGTGTGCGCGCGCGCGTGTGTGTTGTCCTCGAGCAAGGCAGCCTCATAGGCCTTATCTCCAGCCTGTTTCTGCTTCCTTTACCGTTAGGAGTGGTCCCTGATAGAGAGCCCTTCCCGGCCCTCTGCCGGGAAGTTTATTTTTGTAATCCCATGGAAAAGTTATTGGAATTCTAGCGAGTTGATTCGACTCTAGAACTCACAGTGCAACCCACGGCGTAAATAAAGACGCAATTATATATCCAAAAGCGTGGGGAGCCAAGCGGGTCCTGAGTCCGGTTACGACGATGGTTAACGGGAACAAAGGCCTTGACCCAGGGTCAAACCTGGGTTTTATTAATTTGTGAAAAAGAGAGTGGCTTGAGGATGAGTGACTATGAGAATGGCGGGAAGTAGGTGAGTGCCGTGAGCTGGGCTAGGTAGGAGGCCTGAGATCACCTCTGCAAATGCAGAGAGAAGGATATGCAGAAAGAACAATCTGCATAACACATCTGAGGTAGTATGTGATGCTTTGGGGTTGGTGCCTCAGCTCTGATGTGTTATCTTTTATGCCCTGGGATGTCATGGCTCTTCATCAGAGGCTCGATCCCAGCCGACAGCGTGGAGCATGGCTCTCCATCCCGCCTCAGCTCACACATATTTTGCGGGGAGCTAGGGGAGTAGAGAACACGGCTCTGTTGCCTTTCCTTCAAAGACTACGTATCAGCACCTGGACTGGACCGATTTACATTGCTTAAGACCAATTGAAGAGATAAGGAAAAGTCCTAGTCAGCTCTGTGTATATCAGTGCATAGAAATAGGGCCAGGCTCAGCCAACATGGAGATAATTGCTCTTCTTTCAAGGAGAGTCATCCAGATGGTCCACCACAGTCCCTTGTGACCTTTATGGGGTTAATTGGAGGGGCTTCAGCAGTGGTGTCTCTGGTTGGTCCATCCATGTACCCATCCATGCACCCACCATTCTCTCATCCATCCACTCACTGCCACTAACCATTGTCCCTCCTGCCTCTGTGCTGACCTCTTACATTCACCCAGCCTTTCTACTGTCCACCATGTCTCGACACCCCTCCACCTTTTGTTTACCCAGCCAGCGGTCCACTCATCTGTATACCCAGCTGCACAGTCAAGCACTCATTCACCCATCCAGTCCCTTCATTCATGTAACTTTTCTAACATCCACCTGACAACTTCATCTACCCAGCCCTTCCAAACATCCAGCCACCTCCAATAACTCAACCTGTCTAACATCCATCCAAACAGCCACCCATCCCCCACAACCATTTACTCATTCACACTCATTTACCTTTCCATCCTTTTACTCACCCAACATCCAATTATCCACCTATCCACCTGCCCAGCTACCCATCCACTTACTGAGACATCCATTCAACCACCTACCCATTACTCATTCACAATAAGATGCATTCACTCCACTGACCCCATCTACTCAGCTACCCACCATAACATACATCCATGTATGCATTCACCCATCTGCTTCCATTTTTCCAGTCACCTCATCACCCAGCCACACTTCCATCCCCTGTACATCATCTGCATTCGCCCGTCCATCATGCAGCCACCTCCACTGCCCAACCAGACTCCCATCTAACAATCTACCATACTTCCATTCACTCAGCCACTCCCCTTCCCATCCCCCCAGCCATATGTACATAAAATCTCCCATCCGCTAAGTATCCACGCTGTCATGTGCATTCATATCCTTCTGTGCCTTCTCATTCCACTGCATATAAAGTACTACTCTTGTCTTCAAACATTTGTAACATCTTCTGTGTGCATGGCAAATTTGGTTTACAAACGCTGACACATTCAGTCCCCTCAGCAACCTTTTAGGATTGGTACTACTTTATTGCTATGTTACAGGCCAACTAAATGAAGCTTGGAAAAATAAGGTAATCTGCCTAAAATCACCCAGTTAGTGAGTAGCCTCTCATAATCTGGTTCCCATTGTCCCCCGCCCCCATGCCCTTTTCTACCATTCATACCCTGGGCCTGGGTTTTCCCCCTTTTTGGTTATCACCCTGGCCTTCTGTCACCCTTTTCTGGTTCCTGCTGCCGGCAGGCTTTTGCTCATGCTGGTTTCTCTGTCTGGGTTGCTCCTCCTCTTCTTGCTGCTCACTTAAGTATCACTGTTATTCTCATTTCACAAATTTGGAGTGAGCTGCAGGGAAAGTGGTGTGAGGAGATGAAAGGCTGTGACCTATCCCACTGCCTATAGTGATCCTTTTGGTGGCTTTAAAAAAAGCCTGGGCTAAAGTTGGTAGATGCGGCTTAGAGACAAATCCCGGCATTACTGTCTTTGATCGCTCAGTGCCTTGGGTAAATCAGCTTGCCTGTATGAGTTTCCGTTTCCTCTGTGTGTGGTGTCATCATTTAGTTGTGAATCCTTGACCAGTTGAATTTTCTTCTCTAACCTCAGTGTTTCACCTGTGGAACACTTGAGAAAGAAGTGCAGTCCAGTGGTCCTCGGTCCTGTTGTGGGTACTTCTCCGGACAGCAGATTCTAAGATGGGAAGCAATGTGCAGGGCATTCATGGAGAGCACTCTCAGGACCCACGGTTGTAGGAAGGTCAGGAAGCAGTGTGGGGCAGCTCCTTGGGCAGTAGTGTGGACTTCCCAGAGGCCAGCCAACCACAAGGGGCTTTCTGTGGCAGAGATGGACTTAAAAGTTGTCCCAAGTACAGCGTGGACTGGATCTCAACATCTTCTGTACTGAATGCAGGCGATCTCTCAGAAAACAGCATGACGTGGGCTGACGTGGGCCGAACAGTTCTCCTCGGTCGCAGCTCTCTAAGCAGTCCTGAAGGGGGAGCAGGATGAACACCAAGCACATGCTCAAGAAATACTACTAGTTATTATCAGCATTTAATGCATGTATTTGACAGCTGTAGAAACTGAGGCACAAAGGAACAATGTAATATGCTCAAGACCACCTGGGGAACCAGGCTTCAGCCCTTAGCTTTCTGATTCCACAGCTTTAACCAGTACATTTTGCTACCTCTGAACTTTGTGAGCTTTAAATTGCTATGAATGTTAATGTCACATCAAAAGCAGAAAGAAGCTATGGGTGATTTTCTTAAGACTTCTTGGGTTGAGGCTGCTATGGTTTGTCCCCTTCCAACTCATGTTGGAATTTAATTCACTTTGATTTTAACAGCATTAAGAGGTGGGACCTTTACCAGGTGATTAGGCCTGGAGGACTATGCCCTTGTGGGTGGGATAAATGCCACTATAAAATGGTAAGTTTAGACCCCTTTTGCCTATTTGACTTTCTCCTCTTCAGAGATTACAGCACTCAGGATACCATCTCAGAAGAAGAAAATGGCCTCACCAAACACTGAACTTACTGGTGCTTTCAGTTTAGCCTTCTCAATCTTCACAACCATAGGCCAAAAACTTTCTGCTGGTTGTATAAGATGTGAGTGAAAAATATGGTGAATGTTTAAATGACAAATAAATTGTTACAGTAAGACACATTGCCTTTAATTTCCCTCAAAATACTCCCCCTCGCTTTGAACACACTTGTTATTCTTGCCATGTTCTGAAGAATTTCTGGAAGTCTTTTTTGTGTGTGGCTGCCTCAATGTCCTAAGTCAGTTCAGAACATTTACCGTTCATAATTATTTTGACTTTGAGGAAAAGCCAGAAGCTGCAAGGTCCTACATCAGGTGCATAAGGTGAATGAGGACATACCATAACGTTTTTATTTGACAGAAATTGCTGTAAACATTTTGAATTGATTTAGGACATTGATTTGTGTTCACAAAAAAGACATTCATGGAAGAGGACTTCTAGAACTGCTTCAGAAAGTGGCAAAAACAATAAGTATATTCAAAGCAAGGTGGAATACTGGGGGGGGATACAGTTAATGTCAGTGTGTCTTTCAGTGTAATGAAATTTTTTTAAAAATTTAAGCATTCAGCTTATTTTTTTATCATACTTCATAAATTACCAATCTCAGATACTTTTTATAGCCATACAAATGAACTAAGGGGCAAAGCCAGGCTTATAATCAGGTAGTCTTGGATAGTTTTATGAATAAAAAAGGAGCACTTCTTAAAAATAAAACTTACATTGGAATAATTTTAGATTTACAAAATGTTGCAGGAATAGTACAGATAATTCCCATAGACTTCCATTTGTTGACTTTTGTATTACTAATGTTGACTTTTTGTATTACCATATGACATTCATCAAGACCAACAGTAGCACATTGCTTCTCACTAAACTCTATAGACTTTGTTCTGACTGTACTGGTTTTTCCACTAATGTCCATTTACTCTTTCAGGAACCCATATTGCATTGTTAGGTCTCCTTAGTCACCTCGATCCCTGACAGTTTCTCACTCTTTCCTTGTTTCTCTGGGCCAGGACAGTGTTAAAGGAGTACTGGTCCCTCTATTTGGATTTGTCTGACATTTTTGTCTGAATGACTGAGGTTATAGGTTTTGAAGTAGACCACAGAAGTGAAGTACCCTTCTCACTGTCACATCACCTTGGGGAATGTGAAATCCATGTGACTTTTCACTACTTATGATCATGTGACTAAGGAGGCATCTTCCGGAAGTCTCTGATGTAAAGTTACTGTTTTCCCCTCTCCCTACTCTGATCTTTTGAGTCCAGGTATTAAGTCTACAATCAAGAAGAGAAAGTCTGGGATTCAGCTTCATCTTTTGGAGAAGGGGAATCCACATATATCATTTGAAATTCTTTTTTGTTTTTTCAAGACGAGGTCTTACTATACAGCTCAAGCTGGCCTTGAACTCACTTTATAGCCCAGGTTGACCTTGAGCTCACAGTGATCCTCCTGCCTCAACCTCCCAAGTGCTGGGAATACAGGTGCATACCACCACGCCCAGCCTGAAATTCTTCTATATGTAAGATTTGTTCTTTTTTCTAAAGAGAATATTTTTATTTGATTGAT